AACACAGAAAACCACAACACTGGGCTGTCACCTGGTGCCAGTGTAACCGCAAGACAATGAGACGATGTCTGCAGGTATACAAAGAAGAATGAGACAATAAAAACGGTTGACGAAAATACACGTCCACATTACCTTGATATCTTCAGCGGATCGACATTGCGGGATCACGTCCTAGCATGTTCTTTGGTAGAGATCGCATACAGAACAAAGCCGTCCCTACTCAACAACAAACGGGAATCTCAGTGAGATTCACTATTAATTATTGATAATTGTATTTGAGCAGCTCCGACTGTAAACTAATTTCAGCTGTGACATTTAAACAAAAATGCAAATAGGTATCCAACGTTGCATAGTTTGATGATACTGTAAACATGTTATCATTGACGATAACAGTGGATGCTGTGCATATTTGTTTGTTGTTGTATCCCAACAGCTGAATCCTTGATGGACAGCCTCTCTCTCTATCTCTCTCTTGTTTACATTAAGTTGCCATGACAACTTTCAATACTCTCTTGCGCTTTTTGTTGTTGAGATTTTAGTTACTCTGTTCGAATTATGATTTCTGTAATCATTTGTTTTAGCTGTGTGTAAGTCATCGTGTGGTCGCTAAACAAACAAGAATTGTTATTGGATATTAGTGTTATATATTTTACAGCTGTTCTCTTTCGCAATCTTGTTATATTCGGTTTATGGGAATGGAGTGGTATGGAGATTACAACGTCCACCTGTGGTCCATAGGAACATTTTGATTGTCTATAAGTTATAGTATAAGGTTTGAGGTTTGAACAACGGATCAACATCATAGCCATAAGTGCTCCGTCTTCTTCTAACTCAAGACTAAGCCCGACGAAGCTCAGAGCAGTGCACAGGCTCTGTTGCTCCGGCGAGGATCCTGGATACTTAGGGTAGATTTTTAACTCAAAATTTTGCCCAGGCAGCACTGTTATGCTACTCTTTTCGATTTCCATCTGCCAAAGGATTTTTACTACCCAGAGACCAGAGGAAATTACTAGAAGTCCAAGTCCACGTGAAAAAATCCCAGCCTTTACCCGGGAACCTCTAGCACTCGAGGGGGACGCCATGCATCATCATCGAGACCACGCAGCCCCCTGTCTATGAGTAAATTGAATGTCTATAAGCATATCAAGATGTTATGCCGATGACACCGTCTCAGTAGCAAAGTCAGAAAGAACTACAGGCATTGATATATACGGTGGTGGTAGAAAGTTAGAAAATGGGCCTCAGTTTTAATAATGGAATGACGGGAGTAATGATGAGTTCCAAGAAAAGAAAAGTGCCTAAATGTATAACAGGATCGTCTGCAGCTTTGGTCACTTTAGAAAAGCTGGGGATGGTGGTGATTTATAATACAAGTCAAAGGCGTTATTTTAGGACAAGTACAGACATTTAAGTATCTGGGCACATGTATAACATCCGAGATGGAAAATGTGTCACAGAGATAAAGAATACAATAGGACAGGCCAAGTATCTGGGCACATGTATAACATCCGAGATGGAAAATGTGTCACAGAGATAAAGAATACAATAGGACAGGACCAAAACTGCCTTTTATTAAATGAAGAACATTTTGTGCAATAAATCCATGTCATTCGAGGTTAGGGGAAAAAATGCTTTCATGCTATATAGAGCCAGTTTTAACATACGGCTGTGAAGCCTCGACAATTAATAAACAATCCAAACAATATCTTGAGGCCTCGGAGATGTGGTTTTACAGAAGAATCCTTAGAATTCCTTGGATAGTTAAAGAGCAACCCAGATGTTTTGAAAGAGGTGAGGGCTCGAAGACAACTTATCACAAACATCAGAAAAAGACGGTTTTGGCCATGTTGTGAGAAAAACGAAACTGGAACATGTTGTGACCACTGGAATGATTTGTGGAAAGAGAGACAGGGGAAGACAGTGCGAGAAGACTGTTGACAGTCTTTTGCACTTCTGGTTGCCTCGATCAAAGACACATGCTGCTGTTGTAGAGTTATCATTCCATATGGTTCTTGGTCTACCTCGTGCTCTCCGTCCTTCTCCTCTTTCGGGGTACGACTTAAATGGTAAAGGGGAGCTGACATGGTCTAGCGGCTAGGCGCTCGCCTGCAGATCAGAAGATCGTGGGTTCTTTGGTTCCCAGGTCCACCCAGTCTTGAGTGGGTACCAGGTACAGTCATGGGAAACAAAGGTGGCTGGCATAATGCTGACCACATTACCCACAGAGTGCCATTTGTTCTATAAAATATTGGTCTAGCCCTATACGCCCAATGCGCCTGAAAAATGTGGAAAAGGGTCCTTTACTTTTTCATCTGGTAAAGACGACAATTACGGACAAACCCCAGAAAATCTGATCCAGTGAAACAAAACTCAACAACTCATATTTTATGTACAACTTTATCCAATGCATCAGACAGACAAATGTAGCAGATTCATTCAAGCATTTAAGAAACATCATCATCAATAGATTAGTCTTCATTGTATTTACAAGAATACATCAACCAAACCCAGACTGCACCAAAATAAAATAAACATACATTCAAAGCGTGACATAAAAAATGGTGATTATATAGATTACATTAACGATACTTTGGCACATTCAAAAGCTGATACGACATTCATTATGACACTTACATTTTTATCAACAACATATTCAACTTCCACTTTTGCTAATAAGTGTTGTGGGAAAGGGGGGGGTGAACAGTTTGCAGTCCAGTGCTCGAGGAGGTTCAATGGCCATCGTCATTCCATGTGGACAGCTGAACCGCTTGTGGCTGTGCCGCATGACCAGAGCTGCTGCTAATCAAGCCCATTCTATATCTGTCTGCGGCCATCCTAGACCAGGACTATTCAACCAAGTTTACTCAGGGGCCAACATTTTATAATGGGAATAATCATGGGCCAGAGACCTGATCCCCAGCAGAGAAACATCACTGATTCATCATCATCATGTAGCATCATCATCATCATGTAGCAGGTCCTTTGCAGAACATCGCTCTCAACACGATCTGCCTGAAAGAAACAGTCTCTCGCCAGCTCTCCTGCCTCATGTACTTTCATATTCTAGGAGTTACTTATATCCTGTGCCCCTCTTCATGTTGGCTGAATTTACTACAACAGACAATAATCCGCGGGCCACTTGCTGAGCCTCCTCAGGCCAGACTGAGCCCACATGCCACTAGTTGAACAGCCTTGTCATAGAAAGAGGTTCTCTACTGGCGATAGGATGAATGTTTCCTTCGAAGTCGGACAGCACCTGTTTAAGAGACGAGGAACAAACAATCTGGATATAATTAAGCTAGATCTATTAACTGGATATGCACACAAAACTCAAGCTCTGGAATAATACCAAAGTCAAGAAGTAGATGAACAACCAGAACTTTCTGCAAAAGTCTACAGCCAGTGAAATTGAAGAAGAAGAAGATCACAGCGGCTTTACGTTGAGTTTGACAGTGGTATCAGCATAGTATCATCCAGAAAGCTAAAGCAAACTACTGACAATGACATTGCTTAGTATTATCACAAACAGTCAATTAATTCTAGAGTTGGTCTGCAAAGGTCTGAAGAAGATAATCAACTAACTTTTGTGTGTGTTTGGTCACTTCTTGTCCAGTGCCATGATGATCTGGAGAGAATGGTGATGGAGGGCAGTTTCTGGAAAACAAGGCAGAGGCAAAACACTCTGAAGCTGGACACAAAGCAATGAAGATGTATTGGCTACGAAAGCATACGGGGCTGAAGAACTGGCCAGAAAGGAAAAGAGACACTCATGCTGTTAAGAGAGTGATGTTCTGTACAGGATATACCTGAATGATTTATCAAATCATTTCTTTAAAAAAAAAAACAATATAAATTGTTCGGAGCAGATAAACTATTGCTTCAAATTATGCATGTCTAGACATAAATGACCAGAACCTCATATATTCACACATCAAAATATTCTGTTGGCATACATAAAGTTAGCAAATGTTTGATTAGAGTAAGTAAAGATCCCTTTTTAAGCCTTTAGGCGCATCGGGCACATGGGAAGAGCACCCATATTTTTTACAGACCAATCAGCACTAGGTGGGTAATGTGGTCAGCATTACGCCGGCCATATTTACTTCCCCAGGACAGCCATCTTGGTACCTATTTTAGTCTGGGTCGACCTGCAACGCCCCATACCATGATAAAAATCTACGCAGCCAGGTTTGATAAAAGTGTTGAACTGATTTGCCTGTTCCCTGTGTCTTAAAAGCACAGTCGGGGGAGGGGGCCGGTTAGATTTAAATCCACAGCCCTCCTAACAAGTAGGTCACAAAGGGCGGCTAACTGAGAGTTTGCAGAAACTGAATGTGTTGGGCCACAAGACAATCTGCTAGCTGCCCTTTTAAAGGGGCAGATAAAACAAGAAGAAGAAGAAGAAGAAGAAGAAGAATCCATGAAAGAAAAACTGTTGTGATATCTGTGAATGACAGATGGATAAAACATAACTTTTTATTATACGTTTTAAATAAGAATACTTCAATCGGGAACAGATTCATTATGTAAACTTCAGTCCGTTTTTGTCTGTTCTTGTGAAATTACATGTGTAGGAGTCAGTCTCTAAATGACTTGCATGTTAAGATGAGTCTGTTTACATGGTGTGGTCGTATGGTTTCTTGTATTGCATATCTGTAGTTACATGTGTTGCCATGTGTACAATTACAGATACTGCGCAAATTATAAACTATAATATTAGCAAATTGTAACGACTTGCCAGTTTGGGCGACAGTAGGTCTATTCACCACAATTAGGCCCCAAAAACCACACGGGGACAACCAAATGAAAGTCACATACACGTAGAACGTACGCTTTCATGTGAGCTATCAAGCTGAGGTTTTACAGTATTCCATTGTAGGATTTGCAGCAATAATAATATAAAGGAGTGAATCTTGACAATGATGATGAATGAGATGGACAAAAAAAAAAAAACCAAAATACAAAGATAATGGTGAGGAATCAATGGAAACACCCGCACTTCATTTTGCTTTCTGCTCTGCGCCCCTGGAGGTCTGTGAAAAGAAATCGAAATATATAGTTTAACCCTTTTGTCCTGAAAAGCCGCAAAATGAATACTTCCGGTTCGGGCTAATTTCCCTTAAATGCCACTTTTCTGACTTGTTTATTGTGACCTGTTTATGGGATGCACAGTTGATGCTATTGGCTGTGTTTGCACCTGCACAAACTTTTCAGAGCTCAGGATATGAGTGCATTACCTCCTCTTGTGGGTCTTATAATATGCTTATTGGGGAGGCAGTGGGTCTATTCTTGTTTTCTCAACAATGGGCCCCAGAAGCCACATGGGGAGACAGTGGGTCTATTTTGTTTTCTCAACAATGGGCCCCAGAAGCCACACGGGGAGGCAGTGGGTCTATTCTTGTTTTCTCAACAATGGGCCCCAGAAGCCACATGGGGAGGCAGTGGGTCTATTCTTGTTTTCTCAACAATGGGCCCCAGAAGCCACATGGGGAGACAGTGGGTCTATTCTTGTTTTCTCAACAATGGGCCACGGAAGCCACATGGGGAGGCCGACATCTAAAGCTCAGAGGAAAGGCTAGATGGACATACAATTAGACTTTTGTTGCTACTGTTGGAACTCACACTCTGTGCTGACTGCTGAAGATGAGGACAGTGCACTGATGGGAGTATCCTGAATGCTGTGATGTCACTTCTCAACTCAACTTGGTTGTATGGTGAATTGAGAATCACAATACAGCACCCAAGACACTACCATAGGTGCTCCGTCCCCATTTCAGCAGCAGGTGAAGAGCTCCAATTCCAATGGTACCTGTAACTGTCTGATTGTACATCTGTCTCACTTTTCCCTTGAGTGTTGGGCGTTGGCCAGATCCCCTGGTAACTCCCTTCATTGCCATTCTCTTCAGACCGTAATGATCTATTTGTGTCTCCTCACTGTCCACTCACTTTCAAAGGCCACTCACAACTTCTAGCTTGTCGAACATCAATTTACCACCAAGTGGTGCAGAACCGGCCAGTTTATCTGCCTGCTCATTTCCCAGTGTACCAACATTACTTGGAGAAAATAATCAAAGGACGCTAACCACTTGGGATCTTTGAAGCAAAGCTTGCCACTATGCACGAAGCATGCCTGTCTCCACCTTTGTCAACATGCTCTGGGGGTCATTTACAATCACGAAATGCATGTACAGCTGATTCTCAAGCCAGCGAAAGGACGCAGTGACTGCCTCCAACTAAATTTTTCAAACTAGACGTTGTGATATGCCAGGCTTTGTTGCACCAAGTGATGTCTATTCGCTTTCACTATGAACCCCCATACTCAACTGAGTAAAGTGAGCCACAAAGAGATTTAAATTAAACACAGTTACATAGTATAATACCTTGTTAAGTTAGTTGTATATCCTTTGCAGGATTCCCAGAACCAACCCCAGCGGTTTTTTTTTAGCTGTTGTGGTTTTTCTAGGCAAGTTTTATGTTTAGTAGTTTGCCATTACTTTTTGAAAGGCCAGCTCTCGGTACTACTGTCGAAACCAAAGTAAGAAAGATCAGATGCAGCTGGGATCCAGGCTGGCACTTCAGCATTACGAAGCGTGTTCACAACGCCTAAGCCACAGACACCGACATAATACACTGTTACGGCAATTCAATCCCAAACATTTCATGAAAGAGAACACAAGATCTGGAAGACTGCCATATTTTTCAGGTGAAGTTTATTTTACCACAGGACATCAATGTCCAATACATTTTCATTTGAAATGTTTTTTTTTAAAACAAATCTGAAAGCTTTCTCTTGTAGCTATGTTCTTGTAAAGCTAACCACTTCCTCTTTCTGTCATGTCAAGGCGACTGGCAGGATGCTGACCATATCATCCGTCAAGTACTGATTGATCTATAAAATATAGGTCTAGCCCTATATGCCCAATATGGCTGAAGGTGGGGAAAAGAGATCTTTACTTTTATACTTAATATAACAGCCAAACTATAGAAAAAATAGGATTGTGAAATACGTACTAACCTTTGATCTTCCACCTAGTAACCGCATAAGTTTGTAGGCTTCATTTGTGACGTACACAGATGGAAACATAATGTGGATTGGAAAAGCACTGAAAAATGGAATGTGGGAAATTAGAACATGATATCCATTTGAAAAATGCTAAGGAGAAAAAAATGTGATAAGTTAAAATATGGAAACTAGAGATTTGTTGGAAATTAGATGTGAAATATCAGAACATAGTTCGCACATGGAAAATACTGGAAGGTAGAATGTGGAATAAATTAAGTATGTGAAAATGCAACAGGCTGTACTCCAGTTCAAGATGCCCACGTCCTGTGACCTGGAGAGGTCACTCCAGTGTTGCTTAACAGCTTCAACACAAAGCAGGAAGCAGACGTCACATGACATGATTGGAAAGCAGGGAGTTGATTCTGTCTGGCTCTTTTGTTTTCCTTCAAAAAATATTTTTAAGGCTGACTCTTTAAATCACCACTGATAACTGGCATCAAGAGAGCTAATAGACTGAAAAGGTTGGGCCATATTAAAAGAAATTCAGATGACAGAGAAGTAAAAACTGTATAAATGAGGGAGACGAATGGTCATAGACCACGAGGCAGACCAAGAAGACGATGCAGAGATAGTCCAGACAGACCTGCAAACACTTGGAGTCACCAACTGGAAAGATAAGGCCAACCAGAGGTAGGAATGGAGGCGGGTGATATCTGCAGCAATGAACCTCAAGGGCTCGGAATGCTGAAGAAGAAGAAGACTCGACACATTTTAAAACCAAGAAAACAAAATGTTATCAAGGGATATGTGAGCATACGGATACACAGATACATAGATAATGACTTACAATTGTGGCCTTGGTGGATTTGCTGCGGTGGCACCAAGAATACTAAACGGAAACAACAAGGTGAAAGCCACTGTCCTGAAACACAGAAAAATACAATGTAGAATCAAAATTTATACAATATATATTAAATAAAAAAAAGACAGGTCATGCCTAACGTACAGTTAGAGTCAATAACATTAATATGGAGCAAGTTTAGTATTCAAGCATCTGGGTATATGAATGACATCAGACGAAAGATGTATCATAGAGATGATAAACAGTTTGTACATACAAGTACTGCAATTTCTAAACAGAAGAACATCTTATGTAGTAAATAAATCCTTTCGTTGGAGGCTGGTTAAAAATGTCTTGCCGGCTATACAAAACCAGCTTTAAAATGTGGAAGCAAACCCTAGACAATCAGTAAACAGTAAACAAACAAAAATTTCCCTGTGTGGGTTCCATTGTGGGAAAAACAAGAATAGACCCACTGCCTGGCCAAAAGCATATTGTAAGAGTCTGAGAGGCAAGGAACAAACAATCTGCATACACATGAGTCAGGTCTGTAAAACAGATGTGCATTTAACAGTCAGGTTCTGGAATAGGACAACAGTCCAGAAGTGGACGAACAACCAGAACTTTCCACCAGAGATTACAGCTGGTGAATGCGAAGAAGAAGAGTCAACTAAAAGGTTAGCAGTGTAGGCTACACTATACAGACAGACAACTCTATAGACAGACAAACGATTGCCTTGGCCAGCCTGCAAGACATCTCATGAGCAGGTTTTCAGTACCCACAGGAAAACATCAGAATCATAAATGGCTCTCCTGTTTTCTTTCTCTTCAGGCTCCAATGGAGTATAAGCCCTCAACCAACTCATGCTAAGCCATCCCATGCTTTGCTATTCTCTATTCTTCCCCCCCAGGCATCTCTCCATCCTTAGCACGATTTTCTCTGAACCTCCTCTAGTGGCTTACAGGCATGACCGTAACCTCAAGGACATTCTAGTCAAGAGTCAGTTATTTCCTGCCTCTGAGCCCCACTTCGGCACGGTCTCTTTCCACAGACCTGTACGCAGGACCTGTCCATATGTGGTCCAGGGGCCCAGTCTAGAATTCCCGAATGCCACCTTCCACATATGTGAAGCATTCTATTGCACTAGCTGCAGTGTCATTTACGCCATCAACCGCAAAAGATGTTGTCAAATGACAGCCCACACCCCTCTCGTCTTCGACCTGCCCACTTCTTGTCACCTCTTTTGTAAATTAGGCACTTTCAAATCTTGGACTTTCCTCCATAGGTAAATAGCCCTTACCTGTGAACAGAGTGGAAGCACAAAAAGATCATCATGGTCTGAGAAGAATGGCACTACAAGGAGTTACCAGAGGATCTGGCCAACGCTCAACACTCAAGGGAAAGGCGAGACTGATGTACAATCAGACAGTTACTGGTACCATCAGAATTTGAACTCTTTGTTTTCTTGCCGAAGATAGGTACGGAACGCTTATGGGAGTGTCCCGATTTCTGATATACAATACTTAATTCAATATTCTAACCTATTTGGAATACACATGTGTGCCTTTGGAATCTGGTAAAAAGGGACAAATAACATTCCAGAAAGTTCACTAAGGCGAAAACCACAAAAATTCTACTTAGGTGACTTTGGCACAGTCTTAACGAATATGCACAAACCAACCTGGTATACAAAGACTCCCAATAGCCAGTGGCTAGGTGAATTGGAAGACCAAATGCAAAGTAATATGGCCAGTTATTTTCAATCTGAGCTACCCTTGTGTGACCTGGTATACCTGGAGATGGAAGAAATTTTCAGTAAACAAGAATATTAATGAACATTATTTGTAATACAAAAGACTTAATACAGGCACAAAATTTATCCAAAAGGTTTACTTAACCAATTGTTTAACTAAGATGACACTTAAGGTCTTTCAGATAACAGTTTTGTCTTTCATCTCCTACCCTGGGCTTCATAAATGTCTCCATATATTTGTTTTCGGGTCTTCTACCCTGGCTGCAGATTGGATCTCAGTCTTCTCATGTCCCTTTCAATTGTAGACTGTAAAATGCACTACAGTCTTGCCTTACTGTTCTATAACTATAATCCAGGAAGGTTGAAAACAAATTGTGCTAAATATAAAAACTCATTGACTGAAAAAAAAAAATGTAATACAAAATAACAAAGCAGCTACTCATGCCAAACCAAAAGATTTTCCACCCATCTTTCTTCTTCTTAACATTCACCGGCCTAAACTCCGGTGAAAAGTTCTGGCTGTTCATCCACTTTAGAACTGTTCCAGAACCGGAGTGCTGCATGCACATCTGTTTCACAGATCCAACTTATCTGCACGCAGACTGCTGGTTCCTTGCCTCTCTGGCTGATGCACTCCAACTCTGAGGGAAACCCCCATATAGTCAACTCTTATGGCATGCTTGATGGGAAGGCAGTGGGTCTATTCTTGTTTTCCCCACAATGGGGCCCCAGAACCCACACAGGAAGATATATATATATATAAGACATTTGTTTTTCCGCCCTTGTACTATTTCCTGGCCTGTGTGCACTGAGAAGTTCTGAAAGCAGGGCCTCAATAAAGTGGTGCATTACCTAGCTTTATATCCTTTGCAGGACCTCTTTACAAAAAGCACATCATGAATTCTCTGTTCAGGATATTCATGTGTGTGAGGTAATGAGCAGACTGATAGGTTAGCTGCTGCCACTCCTCTGTGTGGTGAATATGATAAAGCAGATGCTGTGAAAATTCTATGGGATCAAATAGACCAGGGCTATTCAACTAAGTTTGATCAGGGGCCACAATTTTCAAACGGGGATCGTCACCTGCCAGAGATCTGAGCCCTAGTATAGAAAGATCATTAAAACAATACAATTGCCAGTGACCAGCGGGCCACTTTCCAGGCCTCTACGGGCCAGACATGGCCTGCAAACCACCAGTTGACTAACCATGAAATAGACAGTGCAAACGAACATAGGGAATCCATGCCATGAAGGACTAATTTAGTTCACGAAGATATTCAACATTGAAGGGGAAACAGAGGTGGACTTTTAATTAGGTTGCAACTGGTACTATTACCATGCCAACTTTGTGTATGTTACTGAAGATGGGGACGGAGCACGCGTGGAAATGTCCCGAGCGCAGTGATGTCGATTCTTGACTTAATCATACAGGACCTCACAAACCAACTCTAGCATTTACTGGCTGTTTCTAGTTGTATCCGTCAATTTTATGTCCAGCAGATTGTCACTGCTTTCTGAATGGCTGACTTTCTATATCATCGTCAACACCCAAGCAAAGTAGTCTGCTGCCACATGTCTGCAGCTGAACTGAACTAAACATTTCAGATTTATAAATGGTAGCTGAATTGAACTAAACATTTCAGATTTATAAATGGTAGCTGAAGTGAACTAAACATTTCAGATTTATAAATGGTAGCTGAAGTGAACTAAACATTTCAGATTTATAAATGGTAGCTGAAGTGAACTAAACATTTCAAAGTTATAAATGGCAGCTGAATTGAACTTAACATTTCAGATTTATAAATGACAGATGAAATTAATTAAACATTTCAGAATTATGAATGGCAGCTGAAATGACCTAAACATTTCAGAGTTATAAATGGTTGGTGAAGTAAACTAAACATCCAAGAGATATAAATGGCAGCTGAAGTGAACTAAACATTTGACAGTTGTAAATGGTAGTTGAACTGAACTAAAAATTAGAGTTATAAATGACAGCTGAAATGAACTAAACATTTTAAATGGCAATTATGGTCCCAGAATCACAGACATAATACAACATAAAAATGACATCTCAAATACTCAGTAACTGTCTCAGAGCCGCTATGGTGTAACTACTAGATGCTCACCTGTGGATACAAAGGTCATGGGTCACTGAAACGATAAAGCCTAAATATCAGTCACCTAGATACTGTCTCTAACAATCTTACCAAGCTGGGCCCACTTGTACTCGAAAGCATAAACTGCATAAAATAACGAGTAGTGCAACCACTCCATAAACACGGCCACGTACGGCCAGGGTATGAGCATGCACACAATGCCAGCCTGAAATCAGGGAGACAAAAACTGATCAGAACTGAGGTCAACTCAAAGAAATGAGGGTTTCTCTTTGTAAGCCTTTTTTTTTAAAACTGTTTCATAGACTGTAATTATCACTTTTATTGTTGTTGTTGTTATCGATCCAGCGGCGCATGAGCTTTTACCCTTTGGCCCAATGCCAGGTAGTGGAATTTATATGTTTTCACAAGCTGTTCTTTTCCTCCGTACAAGGTGTTCCACCTGTCTGGTCTGGAGGGATTAGCATTCTTCTAGTCTCGTTGAGTTTTGGGCACTCAAAGAGATGGTGTTTAACAGTTTTGTAGGGATAGTTACATAGCTGGCACTCTGGGGTGTGGCTGTATTCTGTTTAGACGTCCACTGAGTGGAGTATGTTGCGTTCTAAGTCAGAAGATGGTGGCCTGGTCCCTTCTTGGTAGATGGTTAATGCTGTCATTAGGATCAGGGCCAGCCATATTATCACTTTTAAAGTGGTGTGATTTGGGGGAGAGCTAACAAGTTCCAGTGGACCAAGAGGTAAAAAAAAGATACTAGTTTTGGACAGGATGCAGGGTGAGGAACCCTGAGAACAATATAACTAGAATATCTTTGCACTTGAACCAACAGGGGCACAGAAATAAAGGCAGACAAAAAAACAAAACAAAAGCACATGAAGAAGGCAGATAGAGAGTGACGTTAAAAGATAAGGAGGACACTGGATGAGCTGCATGCAACAGCAAAGGACAGATTGGCTTGGCATGAGTTGGGTGAGGGCTTATGCTCCATTATCAGATAAAAGGCAGAACAAAAAAGAAGAGTGGTGGGGGCATTTATAGGTTGAACAGGGTTTCTGTTATACACTGCCATTGGATTCACTTTTAAAGTACAGCTGTCTGAGTGACTCTGTGTCAGTCTTTCAGGTTGTAATTCCCACCGGAAAAGGGGTGGGGGCATTAAAAAAAAAAACACATCTGCATGATGTCACTGGAAAAAAAAGTGTTCACAATTTTTTTTTACTTTACCCTGTTCGTGGTTCTTTACAAAAAAAACAGTTATTTAAAAATTAAAATTTGCTTCTGCAGTATAAAAACAATCTGATATATAATCTAATTTTTACTTTAATAAACAGCTGTTAAGTTAAAAACAAAAACACACGTACCTGTAGTATAAAAACAATCTGATATATAATGTAATTTTTACTTTATAAACAGATTCTTTAATAAACAGCTGTTTAATTTAAAAACAAAAACACACGTACCTGTAGTATAAAAACAGTCTGGTATATGCTGCTAAAGATGAATTCGCTGATGGTTGCACCAATAGACATATATTTAGGGCGGCCATATTTATACAAGAACACTTTATCTGCAACTTCCTGTCAAGAACAATCATGGCTGCATTATGCAAAAAGAAAAGAAAACGGGAGCTCAGTCGCACAAAATATAAAAATATATTTTGAAAAAATATGAGATATATTAACAAATATTGGAAACAGAACTACGTCTTCTAGGGGGTGGGGGAGGAAGGGGTGTCTAAGCATTCAGGTTTCGACACCCCTGCCTGATGGCAGCTTGTAATTCAAGTAATCTTTAACATTACTAGTTAACTTAATAGTAAGTAAGTAACAGTAAAGAATCTTTTTCCATGCTTTCAGGTGTTCATGGCCTAATGTAATTCAGATAACTTTAAAATGTAATTACCTGACGACAAGGAGACATGTTAAAATTTTTTTTTTGGTATATACCAGTTAACTTGATGACAAGGAGAAGCATTGCTCTACTCACATTGTTGTTGATGAAACTAGTTAACTTGATGACAAGAGAAGCAATGCTCTACTCACATTATTGTTGATGATACCAGTTAACTTGATGACAAGGAGAAGCAATGCTCTACTCACATTATTGTTGATGATACTAGTTAACTTGATGACAAGAAGAAGCAATGCTCTACTCACATTATTGTTGATGATACTAGTTAACTTGATGACTGCCATGCTGGGGAACCACCACAAGAAATCCAGGATGACTGCCGACACCGACAGACCTCGCTGGAAACTATCACCTGAAGCAAACAAGCTACATCAGTGGAACAGGTTGATAAAAAACATCGGCTATATCTATGGGAAACTGGAACAGGGTCGGCCCAAAAAGTATCCAGCCTGTGGCTACCCTCTCTGGTGCCAGTCTTGTTATATGGCCAGACTATTTGATCTATTGTCTACGGATAAAGTTTAGTATCGGTTCTGTGCCGACTCTGCCTTTGACACCATTGTTCCTAAGTTGATCTTTCCTTGTTACACCTAGCATAGTAGGTAAACATTTCATTTCTGCCACGACTTTGTTCCTTCTGTTTTCGGAAGAGAGTGTCCATGTTTGACACTGATAGCATAGCTGTAAGAATATTGTGTTGAAGAATATGTATTCACGTACTTTGTTTCAAAATTGGTGTAATTTGGATTATAACTTGCTTTGCTTTATTGAATCTTTGTTGATTTCCTTAATAATTTTTCATCTTCTGAAAAAATGCTCCCAAGATACGTAAAGTCCTTCGCCTTCTTTAACTGGTGCTCATCAACTTTGGTGGTTCTTCCTTTTTCTGAAGACTGTCATCACTTCTGTTTTGCCTACGTTGATTTTCATATCAGATGAGCTGAGCTTTAAAAATGGCAAATATTGCAGCCAAAGTGTAAACCACAACGCATTTTGTCCACCACTTTTTTAAGGGTGAAAACAGAAGTAAAGGAAGAAAACATTAACTCACTCATAGACTGTCTCTATGGAGGAAAATAACACACACACACACACAAAATGTACCTACACAAAGGACTTTAACACCCTTTCCGCTGGAGGTTACCTCCAATGTTTAATTTGCTTCATTGGTAGAAACTGAGGTTGGATACTTTTTGAACAGACCTTGTACAAACAACACATCTGGGTTAGTTAGTTAGTTGACAGATTATCCTCATTGCACAATGAACCATTTACTCTATAAGTGCTTGTATTAGACATCTTCATGACTCTTTTTATCTGTTAAGGTTTGTTCTCATCATTAATCAATAAAACCACGTCTCCACTGCTTGCCCATAATTGTTCACTATTTGGCCAACTGTCCAAGATTCTTGAGAATGCCATTCTCACCTCAACTGATAAAAAAAGATTGCATAGAATATTCTTTGCTTGAACTATTTGATATTATTTTCTAGAAGATGACAGCAGACATGTGCAAACACAACAGTTACTAAACGTATGTCCGGGGGGCTGTGTGGTCCCGAGACATGGAGTCTGCCTTGAGTGTTGGAGGTCCCAGGTTGAGGCACCAGTGAAAGCTGGGATTTTTTCACATGGACTTCTAGTAATTTACCATGGTCACTTACTGCATCTGTGTGCATGTACAAAAATCCCTTGGCAGTTGGAAATCGAAAAGTGTAGCTCAACAGTGCTGCCCGAGCAAAATTTGCAGTGAAAAATCTACCCAAAGCATTTCTGGATCCTCGCCGGTGCTTCAGAGTTCATGCACTGCACTTAAATTCTTCAGATTCAGACTTGAGTTAGAAGTAGAAAGGAGCACGTATGGGTTACTACCCGTGTGCCATGATGTTGATCCGTTGTTCAAACCTTCAAACATGTATTTTAAAACCACTGTAACAAACAACTAACAATTAGACAACAGATCACAGACAGAATGACTGAAGTAACAGATCACAGACAGAATGACTGAAGTAACAGATCACAGACAGAATGACTGAAGTAACAGATCACAGACAGAATGACTGAAGTAACAGATCACAGACAGAATGACTGAAGTAACAGATCACAGACAGAATGACTGAAATAACAGATCACAGACAGAATGACTGAAGTAACAGATCACAGACAGAATGACTGAAGTAACAGATCACAGAAAGAATGACTGAAGTCAGACAGAATGACTGAAGTAACAGATCACAGACAGAATGACTGAAGTAACAGATCACAGACAGAATGACTGAAGTAACAGATCACAGACAGAATGACTGAAATAACAGATCACAGACAGAACGACTGAAGTAACAGATCACAGACAGAATGACTGAAGTAACAGATCACAGACAGAATGACTGAAGTAACAGGTCACAGACAGAGAATCACTGAGCCAGGTGGACAGACTGTTTCTGCACTGTTCTGTCAAAGACGTACCAAATAAACTTGCTACATATGAACAGCCTGACTGGACCAGAAAGGTAATCTGCAGATGAAACAGAATGATACATGAAAACAAACATTCATGGTTATTTCATACTTATCAAGTTAGTAAAAGAGTCTTAGCCCGGGTTCCAGAGCCCTAATTTGTGCAGGGAACAAGAAGTCCATTTCCACCCCCACCCCCCTAATAAGCATGACATAAAAGGAAATTTTCAGAAGTCTAATTAGAGATATATTCTCCGTTAAAAGGTGCAGCTATTACAGCCTGACTGTAAATCACCACATAACGTGATGGTGATTGTACAAGAAGTTGTTTTCTTCTTCTTCTTCAAGTTCACCAACTGTACATTCTGGGGGAAAGTTCTGGTTGTTCATCCACTTCTGGACTGCAGTCCTGTTCCACAATCTGAGTGTTGTGTGTGCATCCAATTTACAGATCTGACTCATATGTATGCAGACTGCTGGTTTCTTGCCTCTCAGGCAGATGCACTCCGACTTCAAAGGAAGCTGCCAGAGAAGTTGTTTCAAAAAGAAAAACCATAGTTTAATATTCTTGAATAATTCTTGACAGCGTAATCCAAGAATAAAATTCACATGACCATTTCTCTAAACATTTGTGTGTTGGTATGTATGCATGCATACATACATACATGTATCTATGTATGTACTTATGCATGTACGTACGTATGTATGTTTGCATGTAATTATGCATGTACGTACGTATGTATGTATGTAGTGACTAGATGCGTTACTGCAGATTTGAATGTCATGGACTTATTCACACACACACAAAAGACCTTGCCTCCCCAGACGACCCAGCCCTGAATGGGTACTAGGTGAAGTCCTGGAAATTAAAGTCGGCCAGTGCATGAATATAAACTAAACTAAACAACAATAATAAAGGGGACAGTACTCCAACCACCAGAGGAGGGTCATGTGAGAAACTATAAAAACGTTGTGTGGAATAAATAACATAAAATAAAATGAAGGATGGCTTGAATGATAGTTGTAAAAGTAATAGTGACAATATATAATAATTGTAGGAATAAAGTAGAAGGAATAAAAGAGTAGTAGAAAAACAAATGTTAATGATCCAAAACCACCACTTTTTGGGACTAAAAAAAGATGGGAACAGGCTGCCAAGGACTGTGCCATATTTAGAGGGGAAATCAGAAAGGGAATAGGGATAAAGGTGAAAACGATTGCAGATAGGTTAAGATAAGATAGCAGCAATATTTTTTTTAAGTTAAAAAAAAAAAGGTCTTACCAGAAGCGCAACTGCTGCAGTAGTCACCGTGTTCCATATAATGTCCATTAAATTCCTGTTATATGAAAGGAACAAATGACAAGTCAACAAAATATATACATTTTAATACACACATCATCACCAATGCCTTATACAATAGAACTGTGTGTATATGGCTAGCTTGTCATGACTGACTACCTCCATTAAATGACAAACTGCAATTCTAGTGGTGACTGTTAGGGTTGGCACCTCTAGTGGCTGCCATATAATGTCTACTAAATTCCTGTGAAATGAAAGGAACAAAGCACAAGTCAACAAAATATATAAATAGCCAATGCATTTAAACACAAACGTCAGGTTTATCCAGTCGCAGCGTGGCTTTCGAGGGAACCGATCTACCACTGATATGATATTTTCAATAGGACAGTTGCAGGAAAAATGCTGTGAACAAAATCAACCACTGTATGTTGCTTTTATTGATCTTACCAAGGTTAGTCGAAAAGGTCTTTTCAACATGCTCAAGAAGATTGGGTGTCCACCTAACCTACTGAAGATTATTGAGTCGTTCCACACAGGTATGAAAGGTACAATCAACTCTGATGTGTAACATCAGAGGTGTTTGTAACCAACAAGAGAGTGAAGCAGGAATGTTTACTTGCTCGTACCCTCTTTGGAATATACTTTTAACTTTTTTTTGAAACATGCCTTTTGAGGTCAAGAGGGTAGTATATTCATCGATTCTAGATCTGACCTTTTAGGCTGAAGGTCAAAATCAGGATAAGAAAGGTACTTATCAGAGAGCATCTGTTTGCAGTTGATGGCAACAATAACCACCTACTCATTGGAGGAGCTGCAATGTTTACTGTTTACATTTGCTGATGCGTGTGATGCTGTGAATCTGAATGAACAATTAGTAACAAAAAATACAAAGGTTATGGTGCAAGGTGTTAACGATAGACCTACAGTCTACATTGACGGTGAAGAGCTAGAGATAGTTGACCATTTTACCTACCTGGCTTCCACAATGAATTGCAAACTATCCCTGAATCAAGAAATCAACACCAGGATAGGTAAGGCAGCAACAACAATGAGCAGATTGACAAAAAGAGTTTAGGAGAACAGAAAGCTCACGATAAAAATAAAAACTCTTTTCGATCTGGCTTGTGTCTCAGCACTCTGCTTTATGACAATGAAACTTGGTCAACCTATTTGCACCGGGAGAGACGGCAAAATAGCTTTCACAAGTAATGTCTAAGAAGAAGAATTGGCATTAAGTGGCAGGACAAGATCACAAACAATAAGTTATTGGAAAGAGCAGGTATTACAACAGTCTTCTCAATGCTTAGTTTACGGAGGCTCAGGTGGCTGGGTCACACCTGCAGAATTAAGGATGGCAGAGTCCCTAAGGACATCCTTCATGGTGAACTAAAAATGGGTAGAAGATATTGAGGCCAACTTGTACTATGACATAAAGATGTGTGCAAGCGGGACATGAATGATACAGGTATTGAGGTGGACTCGTGGGAGCAAAATGCCATGGACTGTGATGTGTGGAGGGAGCACTTCAGGAAAGGAATGAGAATTAAGGAAGAAATGAACGCAGAAAGGATGAAAGCTGAGCATCTGAGAAGAAAGAGACTAAACACAAATGTTGACATCAACGGTCCTGAAATCCCATGTTAACATAGTGGAAGACTTTTCTTAATGTGGGCGGGTCTTGCTAGTCACACTCGCCACTGCCATCAGCTGAGTCCTGTGCTTCCTCATAACAATATAACACTATCACCTTTCCAGACGGAAAGATGCCAATCATCATATGAAAAGATTAGTATTTTGGATTTTGTCATTGGAGGCTAGGAAAAAATTCTCACATGCTATACACAGCCAGTTTTAACATATGCTGTGTATCCTGGACAATTAAAAAACAAGCCGAACAATATTGTGAGGCCGCAGAGATGTGGTTTTACAGAGGAAACTTTACAATTCCTTGGACACCTAAGAAGAGCAACCCAAATGTTTTGAAAGAGGCGAGTGCTCGAAGACAACTTATCATATACATCAGAAGGAGACAGTCATCATTTTTTGGTCGTGTTATGAGAAGAGGGAAAGTTGAATATGTTGACCACTGGACAGATCTGTGGAAAGAGAGAAAGGGGAAGACAGCGCAAAAGGATTTTTGACACTTTTTTTTCATGGCGTGGAGGGATGTCAGCACACGAACAGATGCGCGCAGTTGCAAATCACAGATTGTGGAGCAGCATGATCACCCATGCCAGTCGGCAAGGCATTTGATGATGATTTTGAATTAGTGGAAGATTAGTATTCAATGAAACGCGATGTCGGAGAAGGGCCGCAAGAAGACCAGAAAAGAGAAATTCAGGACTACGGTCAGATGAGATAAAGATGGGACAGAACCATTTCTAAATTACATATAAAAACAGCAAACAAACAAATGGTTTGCCCACTTGAAGAGGATGCCTTCTAATGCTATACTAAATAAGATACATCAAAAGAGGTGTTAAACAATGATTTGTGACTTACTTATTGACTTCCCCTCACATTTTTTGGGCCATTTAGCACAAATTCCAAGCATAAGTCAAATGAATAAATGTACATTTCAGTACAACCTGGCAATCTTACCCATCTTATTCCTTCTTTTTCTGTTGTTCCTGCCCTGTTCTTTGCATAGTTCAGAGAATGCTTTGGGAGGGGGTGGCTTATCTTTCAGATGTCTGCGCTTCATTTCGCCAACATTTGACCGCCACCCACCAGCCACTGAGAGAGTCAATGACCCCATGGCAGAGGTCATCTATGCACAGAGCAACTGCAGACATTTTGTCACACCTGCAACAATAAGAAAAACAACAACAGACAATCAGTGATTAGGTACCATTTACTTGACCAGCATGGACAGGTCATCATTCTACACCTCAGAACATGGCATAACAAATTTAACAAGCATATGCCGAGGCTTCGTCTGATTATTTCCCCACTGTACCCTTGTGGGCTGCACATGTCATGCCATACTGTCCCTTATAAAGCCCATTAAAAAGAATGTTGAAGTAAGAATTAACATCACAGCAATCGGGTCACTCATAAGCACTCCATCCCTATCTTCAACAGCAAGCGAAGAGTTCCAATTCCACTGGTACCAATAATTGTCTCACTGTATATCCGTCTTGCCTTTCCCTCGAGTGCTGAGCATTGGCCAGATCACCTGGTAACTCCTTGCAGCGCCATCCTCCTCAGACCGGAATGATCTATTTGTTCCTCTGCACTGTTCACAAAAGGCCCTCAAAATCTGTAGGTTGCCATACAGTAATTCACCACCAAGTGGTGTTGAACCCATTAAAAAGGGAAGGTGGGCCCAGTGAGTCAACACTATGCTCAAATTTGTATGGAACTAAACAAAAAAAAAAGAACTGATCTGGCGGTGTAAATCAAAAAGGTCACCATGAGAAGGAGGAAATGTTGGTGCAGTGGTTAGCATGCTTGCATACCAGTCTGGTGGTCACAAGTCTGAATCCCCATTAAGGCACATCTTTTAAAAGTTAATCATAAGAAAAAATGGTATCAGAAAATTTCATGGAAGGTAAAGGCATCCAGCATGATAATGACTACAACACCTATTGTTTTTGTATACCTTACGTCACAACATCTAGTGAGAAAATAGAGGTGGAAGCTGTAACGGCAGCTTTCAGACGCCTTGAGAGCAGCATGGCCCAATATGTTGTAATTGTAATGGACTCTAAGAGCTTGCTTTAGAAAAATGAAACTGCCATTCAATACACAGAGTGGTGAGCTCTCTCTTGAATCAAGTGGTGAGTTCTCTCTGGGATCAAGTGGTGAGCTTTCTCTTGGATCAAGTGGTGAGTTCTCTCTGGGATCAAGTGGTGAGTTCTTTCTGGGATCAAGTGGTGAGTTCTTTCTGGGATCAAGTGGTGAGTTCTCTCTGGGATCAAGTAGTGAGTTCTTTCTGGGATCAAGTGGTGAGTTCTTTCTGGGATCAAGTGGTGAGTTATTTCTGGGATCAAGTGGTGAGCTCTTTCTGGGATCAAGTGGTGAGCTCTTTCTGGGATCAAATAAACAGTGCAATAGAACAGAAAAAGTATTGGCTATCCTCTGAATAACGGTCCCAAATTATCGAGGCCAAAAATATACCCTAACAGGACCTCAGTCACGTGTCAATTGCGGACTTCCGGGGACTATAATGCCACCGCCGAATTGCAAACTTCCTTGGACTATACCCCCACGAGTATCCCAAATGCCGTTCACGCGGCGTGGATTGGAGCTAAACTAGATGGCTGGGACTCATGAGCAAATAAAATGAAGGAAGTTGCAGGAGATGCGTTAGCTGCTGCTCGTGAGTCCCAGCCATCTAGTTTAGCCAAAATCCCTGCCACGTGAGCGGCGGTGGGGATACTCTCGGCGGTGGCGAAAGTCGCCGGAAGTGCTCAATTTAAGATGACAGAAGTGCACAATTAACATGTGACTACAGCCCTGTTAGGGTATATTTTCAGCCTTGATAATTTGAGACCGTTATTCGGAGGATAGCCAAAGTATCCATACCTTGAACAACTAATTCATCATTGGGCTGGGGGATGGCGTTTTGTAGGATATTCCATGTTAAAGGAAAAACCTAGGGGGACTTTTAATCAGGCTGGAGAAGGGAATGAACAACAAGAACTTTCCTCTGGGGTTTACTGCCGATGAAAGCTAAGAAGAAGAAGAGGAGACAGTGGTACAAGAGTTGCACCATGGGAGAGATTGGGCCTCGTCATATAAAATGCCCACAATTAGCTGAGATTACACAACATCCAAATCCCACTGTGCAGATGACACAATTCGTTTAAAAGTAATGTGTTCTGCCTTACAATCCTGTAGGGATAAGAATGATCATGGGTTCTATGCACTATGGAACCATACTATTCTTCTTCGCGTAAACTCTATTTGAAAGTTCTGGGTGTTCATCCACCTCTGGATGACTTTAGACTTGTTCCAGAACCTGAGTGTTACGTGCAAATCCGTTTTACTACTTTTATAAATATGACTTATCTGTAAGCAGACTGTTGGTTTCGTGTCTCTCAGGCCGATACACTCAGACTTTGAAGGAAACCCCCAATCAGTCGACTCTTACGACATGCTTGTTGGGGAAGCAGTAAGTATATTCTTGTTTTGTCCAGAATGGGGCCACGGAATTCACACGGGGAGGTACCACACTAAAATAAATACTTCACAATAACAATCTGGTTGGCGAGAGTAGAGAGAGTGGCTAAGAAATGTGGCGCTAATTGACAGGGCGCATCAGGGATGTACCTAGCAAGCTACCTCTACAATAGTTTCACCCCTTGTTGTGTTGACCACATAGATTAATCGGTACCGGATTGACCCTATAAAACCATTGCTGCCGTGGAAAATTACCAGTCCAGAGTTCAATGTTACCATTCCTTTCGGAAAGGCTTTCCCAGTTGTTGTGCATTGCTCAAGTTGTCTGCTGGAGAATTTAGTTGTTAATTTTTCACGGTCAAACAGCGAAATAAATAATCTGGTTTTACAGTACGGAAAAAAGGCGTTGATGTTATAAAACAGCTTACATATATCATTTCTCCCTGAGCTGGAGAGAATGATCACCTAGACAGGATTCTGTGTTGGGTTTCTGCAAATTTCGTGTCGTCTCTTTGTTTATAGTTCACAGGAAGTGGTTACACTTTTCAATATCATTTTGCTTACAGCAAATAGAATTGTTTTTTTATATTATGAATGTTTATATAAGCTAAAATGAAAACTCACATTTAAAATTTAAGTTAAATTTGTTTCTAAACATTTAATAATTAATATTAACCAAAGAAGTACGCTACAAATCTTGTTTGTACAGAGTGTAAGCATGACGTCATCTCCACCCCAGCGTCCCCATCTGCTGTCTTTTTGATCGGAATCGTCCAACGGCATGGTAGGTTTTGACCACAATTGTGGACAAATTAATCGATTTCTTTAACGTAATTAATTACATTTAGCTTTTTCGGTGGATTATGTTACTTAAATAGAAGCTGTTATTATTAAATGTAGGCAGAGAATGCTGCAAGTGTTACTGTTTGATTTTAGATTTTATGTGTTTTTTTGTTGTTGTTTTTGTTTACTGTTGATGGTTTTGGCAGAATTTTACTTTGTATATCTTCTTCTTCTTCGCGTTCACCAGCAGTACACTCTGGCGGAAAGTTCTGGTTGTTCGTCCACACCTGGACTGCAGTCTTGCTCCAAAACCTGAGAGTTGCATCAGTTTTACAGATCTGAATCACTTAAAACCAGACTGTTGGTTCCTTGCCTCTCAAGCAGATGCACTTCGTGACTTCGACTTCAAGGGAAGCTACCAATTAGTCGACTCTACATGCTTTTTGGTAGGCAGTGGGTCTATTCTTGTTTTCCCCCACAATGGGGCCCCGGATCCCACACGGGGAACTTTGTATATGATATGCGGTATCCTGGGTTATGATTAATAATTTCATACATTTAAAAGAGTTAAATACTTACATAAGTTGCATAATAGTAAATCCCTGTGTTGGTTCTGGACCCCATTTTTGAGGTACAAACAGACCACCTGCCTACCTAACAAGTAAAATGGGTAAAATTAACAGACTAATTGAGGGATTTTGGCTCTCCTTGCAATAACGGTCGCTAGTTGGACGGCGGCGACGGCCGCTTCATTGGAGTTCAGTCTCCTGGCTGCAGTGCAATTACGGAGTGGAAAAGAGGGAACGAAACAAATGACATAGTTAGGGTTATGGTAACACATGTAACGTCGAGTACTTACCCAGAATGACGGCCGCTATAACTGATAATTTTGACACACGAGTTCCAAATAATGGCCGAAAATGTGCTGCTTGTGGCAGTGGCGCCATTGGAACTCTGCTAAATATGACGGCAATAGCGCCTGGCTAGTACCCAATTGGTGCAGAATTTTGCGTTTCAGTAACATCCAGAGCCCTTCAATCGTTTGGGTGTGGATGTCACTGTCCGCGACTTCCAACGAAGTTGGTCTGGTGGACGACAACGTCGTGCAGATAGATGCCATGCCTTAAGTTTGCGACGTTGCTGTAGCCTCGCCAAGCGTCAGTCACGATCGTCGTTCCCGGCAGGACGGGATCTGTTATGATTCTCTCCAGTGTCGCCGCATCTCGTCTTCGCACAACCTCAAAGTAGCAATGGCCAGTTGCACGCTCTACTAGCCCTACGACCCAACGACCGTGAAGGATGCGATCGCGCTGATATTTTCGTCGGAAGAAGTAGCTCTCATCTACTTCAACCACGACAGATCTGCCGGTCTCATCGAGTCCTCCCAACTCCACCCTGTTTCTCAATATCCAATTATAGCATTCCTGTCGGAAATATTTGGTGTAGTTTACAATTGTGGACCGGGCCGTGAGTCTCTCGAAGACCATGACAGTCGTTGAACTCACGCCGTAGAGCCAATAGTCAAGTACATCATCATGAGTATTTTTTCTGCCGGCATTTCGCAGTGGCGACGAATGACCCTTTGCGAACGCTACAACAATAACGCCACGAGTATCTGTCGCAGCAGCCCTGCCGAGGCGCTAACGACATAGGACAGTTGCACGAGCCACATACCTGCATGTTCCTTATAGCTCTATGCTCAGCTAGCTTATCGCTCATTATGGCATACATATCCGCAGGAGTCACATCCATGGCCACTAAGTCTTGCGTCGCAAGAAGTGGTCGCTAATGTGAGTCGCAGCGCGTGGTCTAGAAGCTATGTTGAACTCACTCTGTTTTGTGATTCGTGCCTTGTCCATTCCGTAATTGCACTGCAGCCAGGGGA